GCCGGCTCTCGCCGAGATCCTTGCTCAATTATGTGCCCAAGTGTGTCAACAACCTGCCGTAGTCTCGGAGTGCTGGTCCCTCGGGCGTCATGTAATGTTACAGTCAACCCTCATAGTAAGGATAGGCAACCTTCCATAGGGTACCCTTGCATTCTTGCCCCTTCGGCCCATCCTCGGCGACTCGCTGGCCAGCCTCCCTCGAGAAACGCCAACGTGGCCCTCCAGGGCCCTTGCCTCCTCACCGCGCACCCTCGTGATACGGGTCGACTGTACGGCCGGGATGCCGAGAGAAGGCACCTTTTGGGCGCCGCGTACTGGGGGGGTCATAAATGGGGGGGTGGCGAGCGTGGTCCGAAAAGGTACCCAAACGGTACCCAAACGAGCCCCCTGGGGCTCTGGAGGGGCCCGAAAGGGGCACGAAAGGGGACCTTTTCTGACCCCCCCCATTTGTGACCCCCCCATTAAGCCACGCCCACATGGGGGCTCCAGTCCTTTGAGACTGTGCCCACAGGGGGCTCCAGCCTCAGGAGGGGCTCTAGAAGTCCGAAAGGGGGCACACCTGGGGGCCCAGGATGTGCCCCAGGTGTGCCCACGTCCTGCCGCCGTCCCGGGGAGTGCCGGTCGCTCGGGCGCGATGTGAGGAGGAGGAGGAGGAAGAGGAGGATGAGGAGGAGGAGGGAGGGATGGGGAAGGGGGAGGAGGAGGAGGTGGGAGGGAGGAGGAGTGAGGAAGGAGGAGGAGAGGAAGGGAAGGAGGAGGAGGCAGAGGAGGATGAGGAAGGGATGGGGATGTGTTACTTCCAGATCCCGAGAGAGGGCACACTCCTTGGGCCCAGGATGAAGCTGGGTTATATGATTCGGCTGCGCCTCGGTTCCAGTTACTTCGTTTCGCGGCCAAGATGGGGTGATGACTAGGGGGGGGGATGTCATGCGGGTGCCATGCTGTCTTCCCAGATTTCGCGCCGCTTCTGGGGGGGCTTTTTCAGCGTCCCTGGCCCCCCCCTGTGGGGCCGCGCAACTTGGCGAGCGAAAACGACGGCGCTGGCATGATGTGCGCCCCCCCTCTTGGACAACGCCCCCCCCCCCTCTGGGGCCGCCCCCGAGTCTAGAGGTCGGGGCAGCAGCCCGCCTGACTCGTGGCCGAGGCTCGCGAATGGGCAAGACAGCAGCGTCTTGGCCGACGTCCTCCGATCTGATGCTGTGGAATCCGGCGACCCTGGAGCTCGCCGAAATACCCCTTCCCAGGGCCGAGTCTTTTTCGTGCCGATCCATGTGGCGGAGTGGCGCTCCTCCTCCTCCTACCTTCTCCCTTCCTCCCTCCTCCTCCTCCTCCTCTCCTCCTCCTCCTCCTTCCTCCTCCTCCTCCTCCTCCTCCTCCTCCTCCTCCTCCTCCTCCTCCCCCTCCTCCCCCTCCTCCGCGGCCGCCCTGTTCCCCCCTTTTTCCTCTTGCAGGCCGGCCAATTCGCGTATCGGTCCCTGGATCGCCGCCCGCTGGAGCAGCATTTCTGCCTCGCCGTTGAGTAAAAATGTTTCACGGTCCCGGGGCCCGATGACGGGCCCCAGAGCCCGATGACGGTCCAGGGTCCCGATGACGGTCCCAGTAAATGTAGGATTTACCGCGTGGGGCTCCACATGTGTGCACCTATTTGCAGAGACCTTTTCACCCGTGAGAGCCTAGGCGCAATTTGTTTTGACTATAAACAGGCTTGAGCATCGACAGACTAGGAGTGAATCTAATTGTGAATGAGTCGGAGTGTGAATGAGTCTAAGTCGTACGGGTGAGTGTATGCGAATGGGTCTGATCATGTCAAAGCTCAGGATGGGCGTATCTGCGCGTCAGTGGCCTCATCATGATTCGGCGTGACCGAGTCGAAATGGCCACGCGATCCTTCCCTCCATGATGAAGCAAGGAACAGGGGCGGTCGTGCAGACGCCGTGCGAAATCCTTGGGCTTTCTCGGCCGGCCCAGAAGATCTCACGCAGTGGCTGGACCGTGGTAGAGAGCCAGCCACGCCACACGGAGAGGAGAGGCCCCGATCAATAAGAGCATAAGTACGTAACATGCAGGATCGGAGCCACAGGAGAAGGGCAATCTATGGGAGCAGACGTACAGCACCAAGGATTCGTGCCCCAAGAGAGGCCCAATCGGTAGGAACATGCGGAAAGCACTCAGCATTGGAGCCACAGGAGAAGGGCAAATCCTTGTGCCCCAGGAGAGGCCCGATCGATGGGAACATACGAGAAACACATCGGATTGGAGCCACTCCTGTAGCCTCCTCCAGGAGCTTCCTAGAGCCCCGTGGAGCCTCGCGGGGCTTCTGCTGCCTCCTGGAGCCGCCTGGGGCCTCTCGGGACCTCTTGGGGCCTCTCGGGACCTCCTGGGGCCTCCTGGGGCCTCCTGGGGCCTCCTGGTGCCTCCCCGTGCCCCGTGGTGCCTCCCAGAGCCTCTTGGAGCCTCCTGGGGCCTCCTAGGGGGGATTCGTGTCCCAGGAGAGGCCCAATATATATAGGACCATGCGTAACACACTCAAGATTGGAGCCACAGCAGAGGGGCAATGCCAAGCTATGCAGAGAGGCAATGCCAAGCTAGGTGCGCTCGTGCCATATCTGACGTCCCCCCCCCTCCAATCCCTTACCATGGCGTATATGTCCTCTCTTTTCGCACAGTCGGATGTCGAGCAGTGCAGTGATCGCGAGAGGGTATGCGATGCATGGTAGAGCACGGCATGACATGGCGTAGAAGATCACGGCGGAACGTAGCATGCCATAGCATGGCGTGCATTGCGCAGTGAAGCATCGCATCACAAAACACTGCAACGCAAGGCATGGCATCACACAGCGGCGCACCAACACCGCACAGCATGTCATGGCATGGTTCGGGGTTCCTTGGAGGCTCAGTGGATCGTCTTCGAGAGGTCTGGGACGGTCTGTAGTCGTGGCTCCAAGGCTAGCTCCTTGGGCTCCCTGAAAAGCTCCACACAAGGCGGGGCTGAACGAACACCCGCTGGCTCTGCTTTCAATACCGCCTTCTCAGAGCAGAAACGGGGCTCCCGCTTGACTTCCTCAAAACGACGACGCCCCAACGTGTGGGGGGTTCTGCGGCCCCAGAAATCAACGAATCGACACCGAACGTGTAACCACTTCCGATGTTTTTTTCGGGGGGGGGGGGCATGTTTTAAATTTTTGGGGCCTTGGGAGGACCGAACACGCCCGCGCTGCAGCGGGATCACGATTTGGAACAACCAGAGGCGAAGACATGGGGCCAGCGCTTCAGCGAAAACCCACTTCCCAGGAGTTCGAAGTGTAAAAACACAGTTCACGGATGGGGGCCAGACATTTTTCGTACGTCACTAGGGGAGAGGAGAGTAATATTCATGTTCGGAGACGAGCTTGGTCACTAAAACCAGCAAGTTGTTCGAGACATCCTCGCAGTCTGGCCCACCAGGGGTGCGAAAACCAGCGCCTCGCCTGAGGCATCCTCAGAATCAGCTCCGAACGCAGAGGATGTTGGGTTGATAGATAAGCAAACCGCTTGAGACATCCCCACAATCTGGGCGCGGACGGGGAATGAGACACTCCCTGGCGCCCCCCCCTCCCCCAAAGGGGGGTGTTGAAGCCAGCGCCTCGCCGAGACATCCTCGGAATCTGATGTGAACGCAGACCAGCCTGACCACCAAGACAAACACGCCGCTCGAGACATTCTTACAATCTGGCCCCCTCGTTGGCCCAGAATCTGCCAATATGGAACGATCTGGCGATCGCGAAGCCGCCGATCGTTCAAGGTCGATCGGTACACGCGGTGTCAGAGACCAACGCTAGGGTCGTCACGACACGAACCCGCTGTAAGACGAAGGACCTACGTGGGGAATGTCACTCGACCGCGTGTTCAAATCCAGTACATCTAATACTCTGACCTTCCTGCCAGAGCTTTGCCAGTTTGCTTCCAGGCGATTGGGCATTCGACTGATACTGGTCTCAGACACGCTTGGTATCTAGACACTGAGCAAATCTGGATCTGATTATCCGTCTGGCATCCAGGGCGGGTCGATCCGTCAGGCGTGGTGGCTTCTTGGCACGTATCACGATCGCTATTGCAACCTACACTTCGATCGTAAGACCGGGTGCCTGATTCCAGCCCGTGCCTCCAGTGTCAGAGCGAGAGCGCCGGACGCTCTCACTCTCTCCCCTGGTGCGGCGACAATGTTGGCTTCCGCGGTGCGGATTGTGGCCGCTCTTGCGATCGCTCCTGTTGTCGCCGTCGCCATCCGCCCCGCCTCGCGACCCGCCAGCGTCGAGACCCACCCGCAACCCACCCGTGCGCGACCCACCCGCGACCCGCACACGCCGCGATCCACCCGGCCGCGACCCACCCGCGCCGCGACCCATCGGCGCGACCCGACCGCGCGACATTTGCTCCAGCCAGGTCGGCGCTTGCGGCGGGCCAGCCCACCCCCGATGCCTTCCACAAAAGACTCGGCACCTGCGGCGGACGGTCTTGCGTCAGCTCTGCAGAACCCGTGGTGCGCCCGAGTCTTGGCGCCCCTTCTCACCGAGCGCGCTCCACTACTCGCAAATTGCCTGACTCGCAAACGTCCGAAATGCACGTGTCTGCTTCGATGCCATCTATCGTAGAGCCCCCCGCGGCGGATCCAGGCCATTTGCGAGTGATTACTTTGCGAGTATTGGAACGCGCTCGTCTACCTTCACTCGTATCAACAACTGCGGGGACTGTGACAAGGTACTGACAAAATGAAGGCTGCGGTTTTGTCAGGTTTCGGCCTCTGCGGGAGCCTTTCCCAATTCTCGGGACCGTCAAAGACGGCTCAGGATTAAGAGCCGGCCTTGGTAAAAGAGTCTGGATTTCACTGAACCCGTGTTGAACAAATCTAGGCACCGGATTTATGAGAAGCCGCATCGGAATGGGCAGGGATATTGCAATCACCAGTTCGTGAGAGTCTCTGGATGTTCTTGGCCCTCTACTGTCAAAGGCGTCTTGCCGTTTCTCTCGTCAGGATGTTGCACGGGTGCGTTGATGCTTTGATCATGAGCCTCGTCTGGGCGGCGAAATCCGCTCGCGTATGTTGCGACTCCGCGGTGCAGCCGTTTGTTGGTTCAGTGGCCATGAGCCAGTAGGGCAGCGCAGTTTAGATTGCCAGCAGTTGCGTGTGCGACAAGGACCTCTGTCTCTGGTCGGCCAAAACATTTGTTCGTTTGTGATTTGCGTCGTTTTGTGCCACTTGTCCCCACCGTTGCTGCCGCGATCGCCCACTTGCTGTGTCCACCAGAAGTAGCAGGAGTCTGTGTAGCACCTGAAGCAGTTGTGGCAGTATCAGCAGACTCAGTAGGTGCAGTGGCGCCAATAAGAATAGTATCAACAGCGCTGACAGCCTTGCAGCTAGCAGTAGTAGCACGAATAACAGCATCAGACGCAACATCATGGGTAGGCACCCCAATTTCAGGAGTCTGTGACGCATTCCGAAACAGCAGTCGTAGCAGCAGTATCAGCAATAGTAGTTGCGGCAGCAGCGGTAGTTGCAATAGTTTGTATGTTGTAGCAGCAGGCGTAGCATTGGTAGCACCAGTACCAGCGGCTTCCGTATTAGCGACAGTAGCCGTAGCAGTTGGAAGTGTTACTTTGGTAGCAGCAGCAGAAGCTGCAGCAGTAATAGTTGTAGTAGCAATAGAAGTAGCAGCAGAAGCAGTAGCAGTAGCAGGACAGTAGTAGTAATAGTAGTAGTAGTAGTAGTTGTTGTTGTTGTTGAACATTATTTATTCTAAAGAATAATTATTGTTGGGCCCCCTGGTGCGCGCCCCCCCTGCGCCGCCTAGGCCGCAGCTACATTTTCATCATTTTCGTGAGGAAGCCTCAGAAAAGAGGGTGTGTACAGGATCCGGTTGTTTTGTTGTAATCCGCTTTCCTTTGCAAAAAACAATAGAAAATGACATTTCTTGTTCTAATATAATCAAATTTCAAGAACCCCTTGCAAAAAATAAGGTAAAGTGGACATTCGCGCGCGCAAGACGAAATCCTTCCAAAACCTTAGTGTTCGCAGCGATTTTAACATAAAAACATCAAAAAACCAATGGTTTTTCAACAAAAAAATGTCAACATCTCATCCCGAGCGCTCTTGCGGATTCGTAGGAAACCCAACACTTTTTAAACATTTCTGTCAAACGGGCTTTTGCGAGCAACTTTTTCGAACTTCTGCGACAACGGTTGCGCACCTGCCAGGGCCATCATCCCTGTCAAATAATACCATGCGGGACACATTCGTTTTTCCTTCGCGCGCGCACGCCGAATCTCCAAAAACCATTGGGGCTTCTTAAGAATTATCATTTTCATCGCCTCCTCGCACGCACGTGCGATGATCCGTGAGAGGCGTAGTCGGAGCAAGACCATGCTTGACACTTGGCCCTATGTATTTCCTGCAGGCGCCCGCATGCTGGCAGCATTGCGCCCCATCCGTGCCATCAGGGACGGGCGTATGCCAGAAGATGACGAGCACACGAACTCGTCTCTTTAGAGCCGCGGCGGGGAAAAGACGGTGGGTGGGCGTGCAAGCGCCGTTCCCGCCCCTCCTTCCGTTCTCTCTTCTCTCCTTTCCTCCTTGTCCTGCTCCTCCTCCTCCTCCTCCTCCGGCGGGGGGCGTGAGGATCCGGCATCGCTCACAACCATCGGGACAACCATCGGGACAACCCTCGGAACAACCATCGGGACAACCATCGGGACAATCATCGGGACAGTCATCGGGACAACGATCGGGACAAGCACAACCATCAGGACAACCATCGGGACAATCATCGGGACAACGATCGGGACAACACAACCATCAGGACAACCATCGGGACAACCATCGAGACAACCATCGGGACAACCATATCCTCTCTCTCTTGTGTATTCCCACATCCCTCAGGAATTTGCCCTAAAGATGTGATCAACTATCTGGTGAGTACGTATCATGTGTATCATGTGTATCATGTACCATATGCATCATATGCAACAGATGTTCTGTGGAAGGCTTAACAACTTCTGTGGGTTAACAAGGATTAACAACTTCTGTGGGTGTACGAACGTAGGCTTAACAACTTCTGTGGGTGTGTACTCCACGCCAGTGTAGTAGCCACGGTCGTCCGCAGGCCACGAAGTGAAGTGTCCGAACGTCATAGGGCGGGAAGCTGGGTGTGGGTGGTGGCGAAGAGTCGTGTGGATATTTGGTAGAGCTTGCACTGCCCTCCACAAAGTGGGGGTATTGGCTGGCGTCGCATGAAAACCCTGGCACTGGTGAGAACACTGAGCGTTCGGGTAAAGTGATTGTTGTTGTTGTTGTTGTTGTAGTCGTAGTCGTAGTACATCCCCAGGACGAAAGTGTTTTCCTCTTGGGCCCGGAACGACGGTGTGAAGTCTTGATCAGACCCGTATGAGATAACCGCCGTCGGATCCCATGAAGTGCGCGCGGGTTCAAATGTGGTTTTGGTTGTTGTTTCGGTGGATCCGATTTCCGTCCGTACGGATCCGATTTCGGATTCGCTGGATCCGTGTCCGGTCTCATTTTTTACAGCGGATCCGATTTCTACCTTGTTTGAAATTTATATTACTAAATTAAAACAGGGAGCCGGAAGAAATCGGATCCGCGGACCCCGCAAACCGCCCGTGTTAAGATTCTACGGGGGATGAGGGGGTTCGGTAATTAATTTTCCACGATGGGCCTTGCGTCGTCTCGCGCACTCCCATCAACTCCCCGCGCGAGCGGGCCCCATTCAACATGAAAACATACATCCCTCCCCCCCCGGTTGCTGCAAAGAGCTCGTCCGGTCGCCGTCCGTCCGGCGGCGCCGACGTTGTCTCGCGAAGTCCTCATGGCCTTTTTTCCACCCCAAGAGGAAAATCTTTCGTCCTGCGTAAATGCGTTTCGGCCCTGCGTTTCCTCACCCGAAGGACTGCCTGTGAGATGTGGTGTGTCGGCTGTGTGGTTACCAACAACGGACTGCCTGTGAGACGCGGAGTGCCGGCAAGATGGTAACCAACGAGTCCGAAGACCAAAACGCTCATCCCCAGGACGAAAGTTTTTTTCCTCTTGGGCCCGGAACGACGGTGTGAAGTCTTGAGCAGACCCGTATGAGATAACCGCCGTCGGATCCCATGAAGCGCGCGCGGGTTCAAATGTGGTTTTGGTTGTTGTTTCGGTGGATCCGATTTCCGTCCGTACGGATCCGATTTCGGATTCGCTGGATCCGTGTCCGGTCTCATTTTTTACGGCGGATCCGATTTCTACCTTGTTTGAAATTTATATTATTCAATTAAAACAGGGAGCCGGAAGAAATCGGATCCGCGGACCCCGCAAACCGCCCGTGTTAAGATTCTACGGGGGATGGGGGGGGTCGGTAATTATTTTCCCCACATCCTAAGTGGGGTTCTTGTTTTCTCTGCACACCCTCCGCGCAGGATCTCTCGTCCTCCTCCCTCTCCTCTGCTCCTCTTTGCTTCCTCCTCCGCATCATCATCACCATCATCATCACTCCCCACTCATCATCATCATCACCATTAGCATCACCATTACCATCCCACAATCACTCACCATCATCGGCGTCGAACGATCATCATCATCATCATCATCATCATCATCATCACTACTCGCTGAATTGAGGCCTGAATATGGAGGAAGCATCAGGCGGGAACTTCGTCTGTGAGTGAATTGTGAGGAAGTCTCAGGCGGGAGCCCCCTCCCTATGGGGCCCGCAGATCATGTTACGAATCCGAGCGGGTCATCCTGAAACCTGTAACTGTCGTCATTTTTGCGCTCCTGAGGTTTGATTGCGGAGGCAGTATCAGGCGGGAGCCTCGTCTGTGAGTGAATTGTGAGGAAGTCTCAGGCGGGAACCCCCTCCCTATGGGGCCCGCAAATCATGTTATTAATCCGAGGCGGGTCCTCCTGAAACATGTAACTGTCGTCACTTTTGGGCTCCTGAGGCTTGAATATGGAAGAAGTATCGAGCGGGTGCCTCGTCTGTGAGTGAAGTGTGAGGAAGTCTCAGGCGGGAGCCCCCTTCCCTATGGGGCCCGCAGATCATGTTACGAATCCGGGCGGGTCATCCTGACGCATGCGTCCTACCTGACCTCCACGCTGTCGCAGGGCCAGACGCTGCGCAAGGGCGTCACCATCGACTGCGCCAGGGATGAGGACGCTGGCCGCACGGGCATGTCGGACGAGATGTGGTGGCTGCACCTCTACGACATGTTCTCCCTCGCCACGCGCATGCGGAACGTGCTGATCCTGCGGCCGCCCGCGCGAGAGTTCCTGGAACGCGGGCCGCCGGCGTCCCTGCGGAAGGCGCTACAGGAGTTTGACAAGAGAGCGGTGGGCTCCAGGGCTGAGGCGGAGCAACTCGCGGCAGAGCTGGGTTTCGTGCTGCCACCCGCCTGAGCGCCGCGGCGCGCACCTGGAGGCCCGCGGGGTTGTCCCAACGGCTGGCTCCCGCGCCCCTGCGGCCTGCGAGGTTGTCCCAACGGCCTGGCCCGAAGGGCTGCCCCGACGGCTTCGCGATCTAGCCGTCGGCAAACGCGCGCGTGCTGGCCGACGCGGCGACGGCGCCGAGGAAAATCGAGTTGTTTGCCACGACCAGGGGGAACGGGAGGTGCACATGGAGAAGAGGCAGGAGGGTGAGGAGGGAAGGGGCGCGGGGGAGGGCGACGACGAGGAGGAGGTGGCGCGAGAGGAGGAGGAGGAGGAGGAGGAGGAGGCGGAGGAGGAGGAGAAGGAGGAGGAGGAGGACAAAGAGGAAGACAAATAGAAGGAGGAATCGAGGGCAGTGCAGAGGGCGAGAGGAGAGGGTGTCCGCCAGGGGGAGGAGGAAAAGGCAAAGGGTCAGCTCAACAGATTATCATGCGGGGTCCTACCGTCGGAGTAACTATTATGATCCTTATCAGTAGCAGTAGTAGTAGTAGTAGTAGTAGTAGTAGTAGTAGTAGTAGTAGTAGTAGTAGTAGTAGTAGTAGTAGTAGTAGTAGTAGTAGTATTAGTAGTGTTAGTAGTAGTAGTAGTAGTAGTAGTAGTAGTAGTAGTAGTAGTAGTAGTAGTAGTAGTAGTAGTAGTAGTAGTAGTAGTACTAGTAGTAGTAGTAGTAGTAGTAGTAGTAGTAGTAGTCGTAGTAGTAGTAGTAGTGTAGTAGTAGTAGTA